TTTCTCCTTTTTCCTTTTGCATGCATCTGTCTGTATCACCTTTGTTTAGTTTCAGCTTCATGAATTTTTTTCTGGTATACAGATTTGTGCACAGAGAAGAAAATGAGTGTCCCCCTTCTAACACTGTTTAGGAGAATGTTGTCAGGTAGGGCATGAGCCTCAAAATACAACGGCTCCCAGCACAATGGTGTACTGTCTATTCATAAACTTCTGTGAAAGGCACAAAATAAAACTGGAAAAAATATTTTTTATACAGTCATTTGGGGTCACTTCTGAAAATGAATTTTTCAAATCAAATATATCCTAGTATCTCCTGTAAAACAAAAAAGGTGTTAGGACAGCAGTCCTTTTAGCTTGGAAAGAAGCTACCTGAGAGATTAATTATACATGTTTTTCTTCTTTGGAATAGTGAAGTACACTATTGTCCCCTCTGAATTTCCAGAAATGACACATACAGCAGTGCAGCTGCAAGGAGGTTCTGATTTTTAAAAACTTAATTCATGAATGGAGTCAGCCAGTAAGGTAATGTCTGTAAGGCAGTAATAAATATATTGGCCTACTACAAAATATGTGACATATGATTATCAAATGAAACAACGGGTCAGGTAAGACTAAAAATTATTCTAATCTGAATTTCTGGTAATTTTAGCAGATTTTGTGTTGAACCCTTCACTATGCATTCCTCTTTTAAAAATTCTGCCTGAAGTGTTTGGATTGAAAGTTATCATTACTAAAAATACTTTAATCTAGAAAAAAGTACATATTTTTTTCAAAAAGACATACAAAAAACTAGAACTGTTGGTTCCAAAATGATACCTTTTATTGGACCAACTGGAAAATGGCAAGAAAATTGTCCTTTTCTGCAAGCTTTTGGGAATCAAAGTCCCTTCGTCAGGCTCTGGGAAAAGTGTAGATGGTACAAGATGATAAAAAGTCCCCATCTGTCAGAAATAAACTTCATTTTTGCACAGAGGGAGCTGAAGATGGAAGGCTGTCCCTCTGGGTCCATGAGAGTGTCTTTGTGAGCTGTGTTGAGTAGCTCTTTGATGTGTTGATCAGGTAGAATTCCTTCCCTGAAGGTGTCAGATGGTAGGTGGGAAGGCAGAAAAAACTTCCTTGTTGTTCTGCAGTGAAGTTTAAAATCCAAAAGCGGCTGAAATTTGGCATCTTCCATGTTTCAGGGGTGCACTTGGTAGCTGTGTTGGTCTGAGACAAAAAGACATACAAAAAAAAACTAGAACTCTTGGTTTATTTTTCAATGCACTTCTTATATTCTGAAACCTTGTTCTTTGTCCTTTGTATTTTAGGTCCAGTTGTTTATGTCTTGGACCTTGCAGATCGACTGATCTCAAAAGCATGTCCGTTTGCTGCAGCTGGAATAATGGTGGGATCCATCTACTGGACAGCTGTCACTTACGGAGCTGTGACAGTGATGCAGGTACTGATTGAACTGCCACTGCAGGGAATCTGGTAGTTTGTAGCCAGGAGCCCAGCCCTGTGGGTTGGATGACCACTCTTGACGGGCCAGGTCCAGTCTGCATGCTATGTTTGACACCAGTGCTGTAAATGATTGAGGGTCCCAGGGAAAGGGAATGATAGCTCAAAGAAGAGAGGTTGAGATGCTGCATTCTTTGAGGTAGGAGAGGGATTTAGGCAGGAGAGAGGAATGAAGACTTTGCATTCAGTTGGGAGGAAGGTCATGGAGAAGCTGACAGTAAATTCTGCAGGCTTATCTTTGGACTAAGAGTTAATTTACTAATGTAGAAATATTGTCAGTGGTAAATTCAACTAAGAAAATTACTGTTACAGGCTCAGGTGAATGGTCTAACCATCAGTAATTTTGGTAATTCAAGATAGCTTTGTTTACATAATTGGAAACATTTCTAAAAGTACTACACAGAGTTCCAGTAGTTATCTTGAGAGTCGTTTCTGACCAACCATTGTAGCCATCCCATTGAATTGTTGCTTTAAGAAATTAAATCTGATTTTAAATAATCCATTTTGTTTTGTGCCAAATTAAATTTGCCAGCTTCACATTTGTTTTGTTAACACCTTGGGATAGCTGTTATCAAAGAACTGCTTTAAATGATTGTTGCATTTTGCACGGTTCTATTTTATCCAGGTCAGGCAAAAGCCTACGCTTTCTAGAATTGTATCAATGATCGTGTTAGGTTTTGTCAGTTTTGTTGCACAAGACCCAGAGAACAGCTGCACTTCTAGAAAACAGTGCTATCAGCCTACAAAAACATCTAAGATAATCAGTCTATAAAACTGCATATTTGAACAAGTGCTTACATCTCGGCAAATACTTAAATCTGAGCGGAGCTGAATCTTCTGAACATGTACTGTTTTATGTAGACAGGTTGAAGTGTTGGAACTGTGATGTGAAAAAATACAGAACTCTATTTTAATTCTTGGTTCTCGGACCATTCAGTAATGGAATTATATACTTAAATATTGTACTTTAAAACAGTATGGAGTATAAGCATAACTGCATATTGTACTGCATGGTGTAAACAACTGATCTTTTGTTTCAAATGCTGATCATTTACTTGACCAGATATGTATTACCACTGCCCAAATACTGTACCTCATCCTGCAGTGCACAGAGAAGGACTACCCATTACTAATGTTACACCCTCTGGCACATTCTGCTTTTAAATAGTAATCATCAGTCATCTTGGGGTCCATTAACTGAATCAAAGAATTCAGCTGTCATTTAAATTGTAACATAGGAAGAGGTTTTAATCCCAAGTCTTTATATGTACCCTTGGGAGTTTTAGTTTTAACTTTAAATGTATGTGAAGGAGAGATTGTATGTAATCATCACTCAGACTGCATAGAAGTCTGAGATGGTAAGTCTGGGGTAGTTAGTAAGTTGAATAACTTGCTATTAGAAGATGAGTTTTTCATGACTGGTAGCTCTCCAACAGGAAATTTGATAATCAGGTGAGAGCACCAATTGAGAACTTTGAAGAATAATCCTGTTTGTTGTATCTGATGTTTTTAAGTCCCAGTTGCATGGGCCATTCCAAACTAACCAATCCAGTTTTTCAAAACTTGACATTTTTTTAAAGAATATCCAATATACAGTAGCTATCTCTCATGCGTGTCTTAACCATTAAGTAAAATTTCTTTTACATTAACAGGTTGTAGGTCATAAAGAAGGTCTTGATGTCATGGAGAGAGCTGATCCATTATTTCTTTTAATTGGGCTTCCCACCATTCCAGTCATGCTGATTTTGGGCAAGATGATTCGCTGGGAAGACTACGTGCTTAGACTGTGGCGCAAATATTCTAACAAACTGCAAATTCTGAACAGTATATTTCCAGGTAATGCAATTAATTTTAGCTGAAAATCAAGTTTGGATTCTGCCCCTGTAAGGTAGGAGGTTGGAAGGTAGTTCTACTATGCCCCCTCCCCCACTTTTTGTCTTTAACAAAAAAAAAAAGGTTTATAATTCCTTCCCTCTTGCCCATTGTTCAGTCTATTTAGATTGAAAACCATTTATGGAAGGGACTCATTCTGAGTGTGTACAACGAGGGTACAGCCTACTATTTTTAATTATTTTATTGTATAAAGCTAAAAGGTAATGCCCAGAAATATTAGTGAGGGATGCTTTTGAAATACTTGTTTGATTGAATAGAACTAATTACAGTCAAGTATTTACATTTTTACATTTTACAGTATTTTTTAGTGCTTTCTCCTGTTTCTAAGTGACCATATGATTGTTCTGTAGGGATTGGATGTCCTGTTCCTCGTATTCCAGCAGAGGCTAACCCTTTGGCAGATCATGTCTCTGCTACTCGTATTCTATGTGGAGCTCTAGTCTTTCCGACTATTGCTACAATAGTGGGCAAGCTGATGTTCAGCAGTGTTAATTCAAACTTGCAAAGGACAATCTTGGTAAGATTATTTAATGTTACTTTTTAAAAATGGGAATAAAAGCTTGTGGGAGTAGAAGAAAAAAAGTAGAGGTAAAATTCTTCTTAGTAGAGTTTTAACATGGCTTTTGATTAAGGGCAGGTGACTTTTGATGAGGTGAATACTGAAGGCTCCTCATCTGTATAGTGTGCTGGATATAGCACTATAAATTCACTTATAATTCTAGATAGCCTGCATCCATGATTTTAGATGGGGCTGATCTAAACAGAGGAGCAGTAGTGTGGTAAATAATGGGGAAGGAGGACACTATGGGTAACTTGCAGGAATGGTAAAAATCCCAAGTCTGCAGATTTTATACATAGGATCAGCCTTTTATTGCTCTTTGATTATGGGATGCATTAAATGAATCTCTTACCTATTTGATTTCTGGAAAATTTCTCTCCAAAGGGCTGCTTGTGAAAAGGGAGCCAGGAGTTTCTGTTTATACCCCTTTTCTCAGACTAAGGATTACGTTCCTTTGCTATGCCTAGTGCGTAACTCAAGTGCTACAATGCTCATCTCTTTCACTGGTTCCTTCCTTGCTACTAGAGTCCACCTTTTTCACTCCCAATAAATAAGTTGCCCAAATACTTTTTCTGTTGTATGTTCCTCCTTCTATTCGGGAAAGCTATAAACAGTGCTGTAATAACCATTGCAGCAGATTATGGAAGCCCATTTAACATCTCTTCCTATTTTGAGAGTTGTAGCAAACCTAACTAAAAACTTTTAATGAAATGGGTTTGTTGTTTTATAGAAACTGAGTTTGCCTTTCTCTGTGCTTGGCATGAGGAAAAAGGAATGCTCTCAAGCAAGTGTATTTTTTCAATGTCTAATTAGTGTATGTTATCCTGGGAAAAACATATCTAAATTTGACTTTCGTCTTTAATATTGGATTGTAAACCTTTGTTAAACTTCTAAGTGAACAAAATCTTCCAGAAGGATTTATAAACCCATCATGTAATCCTTTTATGCAATATGAAAAGTCTACAGTAAATTTTGCCTCGTCTTTATTTGAATTTAATCTAATTAGCTTAATTTCAAAGAAAATGCTGTTATCTGAATGTTTTCCCATATACCACTGTGGGTGCACATGCATCTCAAGCACTCGGGAATGGAGATGTTTTTGCCCTAGCAGAGGTGTGTACTTTTGTTTCCTTGTGAAGCACACTGAGAGCATACAGGGCAGTGTGATTCCAGCACTTCTGTTCTTTTCTGTCGCCTTGCTTCAAGACAGCTTCTACAGTCTCATCCAGACCACATTTGGGTCTGTAGCCACCCTCAGAACATGCTTTATTCACTTTTATACCTCAGTTTTGCACTTTTACAGGGAATTTCTCTAATTTCTTTGTCCCAGTCTGTCCTAAAGTGAGACTTCGAAGCTCCCCTTTTCTAAAATGTGGCTCATCCAGTACAGTAAGGCTTACTTTTTATCCTTTCAGTCTGGGTACAGCAAGTGCTTCTACTGTTCAAAGGAATCTTGGATCCCTGGAAAGCACATCATTTGTTTGCTACCAATCAGGGTAGGAGTCTGAGAACAGTTTCCAGGTTTACTTCCTATGTAAAATTATGCAGTCAGTTTTGGTGCCAGATGAGGTTTTCTTCCTGTAAGGAAAGATGTGGATCTTTCTATTCCAGAGGAAGATCTTGTCCCAGGGACTCTTTGCTCTCTTCTTATCCCTACTGCTTTTGAGACTTCAAGATGGACTCCAATAAACAGATCCAAGACTTCTGCGGATCCCAATGAAGCTCAGCAACATGCCAGTACCAACACCCAATTCTGGAGTGTCCACACTTGTGTAAAGTTGAGTGCTGAGGAGCTTGTTGGTTTCTCCACTGACTTCTCGTAATCATGGATCTGACAAGCACTTGCTGCTCTACTAACACACAGCTCACTTCTGCAGCCTCCTGCTATGCTATTTCATGAAAATTTACTTCAGGCATTGCATGACCTAAGACTCAGACTAGTGTTTGTTGCTACTGAAGCTAGAGAAACCACTGGTCTTTCACCCCTACCAGCTCATACCACTTAAGGAACCATCCCTAGGTCCAGGGCTGTTAGCAGAAGTGTGGAGGTTTCCTTTGACTCAGAAGATGACCAGTTCCACGTTAAGTAGAACGTGGATCATTTTGAATCTGGGTTGTTTATAACCCACTTAATTCATAGAGGACTGCAAAATTGAGGATGAGCTGCTCAACTGGTTGCTGCGGCTTTTGCTGTAAAGGGTGCCACTCCTCTGATCAGCTGGTACTCATTTTGTAGTCATGTGCAGCAGATGAGAAGTTGGTGCCCTTTGAAATAGAAGCTGAACGAAAAAGCTACAGCATTTCAGTGGTCCGGCGTACGTATTTGTTGCACCTCTGTATGCCTCTAATTATATCCCAAATCCTTATCTTTTAGGGGCTGGGTTAGGGTGGGTAAGGAACCTAACCCCATGAACTATCTACTTATTACACTTATCCCTTTACATCCCATTGTCTCTGGCATTGGCACCCTCACAGAGGGAACTTTTGGCTACATTGACATAATCCTGTTTCCATATGCTACAGGAGCTGCCAGCTATTTGAAAGATACCACAGATTTCCTGAAGAAACTAGCTTCCACTGGCAAGATTCCAGCTAACACCATGTTAGCTACTGTGGATGTAAACCAACAGGCACCCCTCCCCTCCCCACCCCCCCACCCCAACCTCAAATGGCATCTATCAAGAAATAAACTACCTAACTTTTTTTCTCACCAAGGCACTGGACCTTGCACTAGATGTCAACTGTGCCCCCTCAACACAGAATACTGTCAGCACAGACCATTGTAATAGCTAAGGTTCATTTATGTGCACCTCTATCAATGTCATATATTCCATCACCTGCTTACAGTGCCCTTCTGCTTTTTGTATTGGACAGATGAGGCAATCCCTATGTATAAGAAGGAATGAATACCAAGCTGACATCAATACCAAAAAGTCAGTCAAGTCTGTGGCAGAACACTTTAACCTCTATGGACATTCTATCACTGATCTCAAGTGGCTCTTACTAGACAATAAAACTTAAAAACAAACAAACAAAAAAACCCAACCTAGAACAGGAAATTTCAAGCAAGAAATGATCCACATGCTGAATTGTGTTAAGTATGTTCTACTCTAAACCGAGGGTGTTCAACCCGCAGCCCAGGTCTGACCTGCAGAGTTCCCCACAGATACGTAGGGAGCCCTGAGCTCTGCATGCTGGGTTGGGTGTCTGATCCCAGTATGCAGGGCTGGGTGGGGGTAGTGGCAGGCTCCAGGGGCTAATTCCCAGTAAATGGGGCAGCGTTGGGCTTGGGTCTGATCTCGGCGTACAGGGCTTGGTCTAGCCCAAACCAGCCCCATCACCTGGCATTCATCCAGACCATTCATTTGGCATACCGGGCCAAAACCTTGAGCCCCGCTGGTCTAAACTGAGACTACAGATTCTTAACACATTACCTGGATAAGCCTTATGTCCATCAGTGGGTTAACTGCTTTGTTTTTCTCTCTCCTACTCACCGTGCCTCTCTCAGCAGTGCCTGCTCCTTTTTCCTACCTACTTCCCTACTCTTTGTATTATAATCACTGCTTTCAGTTTAGCAGCTCTGCTTCCTGCAGTCCCTTCACAGCATCTGATGAAGTACACACACTGTTTACAAAGAATTATATTATACATCTCTAATTTAACCTATAAAGGTGTAAATTTACCTTGCTTTCTATCTGACTTGAGACTAATATGGGTAACTACCTCTTTCTTCCTACCATGGCCATCAAACCCTTCTGGGGAGAAACATTGGGCTTTTGAGTTGCTACCTCATACCTCTGGACAGCTGGGAAGCTTAGTGCTCTCTGGCTTTTTCCTGCATTTCTGATATGGCTGTTCTGGCCATGGGGCTCTCATTCTCTGCTTAGGAGCTCCTCCAAAAATCATGTGCTGATGGCTGACTCATCAGTTCCCCTCCAGGGGCACAGAGGTCTTCTATACTTGTCTTACATCTTCCTCAGTGAAGCCAACAGCATGATGAAGCAGTTCTGAAGGACAAGGACTTAAAAACAGGACCTACTTGGAAGGAAGTTTTACTCTTGCTAACCTGCAGTTCCATACTGCTAACTACCTTACGTATGATTAGGTATGATTGTAGAAGTTGAGTACCTGGCATCTTTTACTGACAAGCTGCCTTTAATTTCACAAGTATTCATACCCTACCTTGTCCTTTCACATGAACATGATCAAGGCTTCCTGGAAATCTCATGGGCTGTTTCTTCCCCTAGCTGAAAGATCAGATGTTACCGTGATTTCCACCCATAACTGCCTAATTAAATGGTGGACTGTATTAGTATACTGTAAATCACTCAGGTGGACTGGCCAGTGGTGATCAAAGTTTGCTCCACCACAGCCCAAGCAATCTTCTCTATAGAATGTCTTTGATCTCGTATATTTACAAGCCAGCTACCCTCTCATCCAATCCTTTACCAAGCACTGCACATCACTGATTCTGGATTTGGTAAATCTGTCCTAGTCAAGTATGACTAGAGCTCCCACACCTTCTAGCAGGTCCTGCTTTGGAGTCACCCTGAGTGGAATATGTATATGAACAAGCAATCAAAGGAGACAGAGTCACTAAAATTCCTTGAGACTGATTGATTGTTCACATATCCACATTCTACATCCTGCCCCCTTTCTCTTGCTGCGAGTGCCAAGGACTCTTGCATTCTACAGATGAAAGAAAACAGGACTAGGAAGAGACATTGCCCTTCATACTCTTAGAATGAGAGGAGGCAGGGCATGTGTGTGTTGTGCAGGTACTGCTAGGGCAAAGAAGGCTCCATGCTCAACTATTTGAGACGTGTAGTCACAATAATGTTCATATGGACAACATTATCTCAGGGAACTCTAGGAACTGGTAAGTAACTTGTGCAATCAAAATAAATTGTTTTTTACAATAAGTGTAGAAGAAAACATGATAAGACATAATATTGAAAAACTAGTTTTTCAAAATATTTCTTTCTATTTCAGGGTGGGATTGCTTTTGTTGCTATAAAAGGAGCTTTTAAAGTTTACTTCAAACAGCAGCAATACTTGCGCCAAGCTCACCGCAAAATTTTAAATTACCCTGAGCAAGAAGGAGCATAAAGCTGTGATCTCCAGATGTTGTACAATCTCATCTACCAGATGCTCTCTTGTTGTATTGATTCCATCGTTATTGCACAGTAGTGGAGAATTGTGATAAGTTGCTGCGCCTATTTTTTTCTTCAAATATAATAAAGCACTTTCTTTTGGCAGAGTAAATCCTTTCAGAAATCACTGAATCCAAGAATGTGATTTATTTTCATTATTTTTGTGCATTTCTTTTATGATAGGCAAGCATCTGAATCATCATCTTCACACCACTATGCTGAACTTGAAAAAAAAAAAAATCAGTAAAAGCCCCAAACAAAACTAAAGTATGAGATACAATGTACAGTTTCTTAATGTATTAACTGTATCTACATACTGTGTATTACAGTCTTTGCACAATATTTTCATATACAGGCCATTCAGTTCAGCCTAAGGACAGCATGAAAGGAATCTCCTAAAGCAGTGGAGCTCAACCTTTTAGTGGCAGAGCTGGTACTTGTGGGCTAACATGCCTCTCCAGTAGAAGGTGGGGGGGGAAGAGAACGAGGAGGAAGGTGGCTGCCTGCCATAGGGAAGGAGAGAGGGAGAGCGCAAGCAGCATGGCATGGCACGGCACAGGGCAGAGAAGGGGATATGCAGGGCCAAACTTTGCCATTGATCCTCTGTACTGTGAGCCAGATCCAGTAACTTTGGGGGTTGGATTCAGCCTCCAGGCCATAGGTTAAGCACCACTGTTCGAAAGGAATTTTGCTTGAACCTTATTGCTAAGGAAAATTATTTGGACTTCATTCAGTAAGGATTCCCTTGGTCATAGCTGAAGTTACGAATTAGATGTGAAATATAAAGTCTAAAATATTTTCATTAATTGGATAGCTAAGCAGAAGATTAATTGTTTTCTAAAGGGTCCACATAGCCAACTTTGCCACCTAAAGTACTAGGTGTGAAAATGAGCATGGCTTTTGATTAATTTTGTTATTGTTGGTAGTGCCTAGTATTGCTCTCTTGCACTCCTTTCCTTCCTGTACAATAACTAGTATTGTATTGTATTAGCTCCATCTATTACTAGAAAAATTATTTACCTGGAAAGTGAGTTTCAATCACTTATTTTTGTAATTAGTTAAAATGTTAGAAAAGCTGTTTAGTTCCCCCTTTTCAGGTCATTTTAATTATGCAGTTATCTCTTCCAGTAGAAAATGCCAGAAAATTGAAAAACAACATTGGACATCAGGGAAGCATCTTGGCCCTCTAGTCTGACCAAAACAAAAATAAAAAAAAAACAACTAAAGGATAAATCTTATCTGTAATAAAGTAAAGTAATTGCTTGCAGCCACAAAGTGTACTCTCGTAAAGTTTCCACTGGCCTATTAGAGAGAAACACTGGCATTTAACTCTGATTACTCCACTTTATTCATAAATCCACATTTTTCAATGGATACTATTACATTAAGTGGTAATTTTGACAGACAAAATGTAGCCATTTAATATCCATAGAAGACTTATTCTGGATTTAGTTATTACAATTCTTGATGCATAACAATTGAATGATTAAGTTCTGCTTCTTAAAGTTGTCATTATCTATTATTTCTATGTTCACAATAGTATGTCAAATGCATGAAGGTAAAAGTTTCCTTTAGTGAAAGTATTGGTAAGTAAATGTTGCTTTTCACTAGAAATGAAGCAACTATAAAGTGGACTTCATATTTGATTGCAATAATGTATGTTAGTGACACTCAAAATATGGTACCTTTTCTATAGAATATTACCTTAAATATTGAGATGTAATATTTTAGAAATGTATAAAAAGTGTATATAATACCCAATTGGTATTCCAGGACTACAGTTAATGAAAATTATATGTGCATAACTGATGCTTTCAGATTCTTGATATAATTGAAAAAATACTATAATCTTTCAAGTCTGCTGATTACATTGGTCTTAGAGTAGGCTGACTTTTTATATACATTTACATACACAGCAGCAGCCTCTGAAAGGTGCTGTTTTTCTGTAAGATAGCCTTGAAACAATATAATACGTTTCTTACAGAATTCCTCAGTGCAAAGAGAGTTTTTCAGTGGTCTTCATTGTATATATTTCCAACCACTTTATTACTGTTTTTTAAAGTCTCATGCAAAATCCAACAATGCAAATAAGTGGTTTTGTTCCATGTGGAAGCTAATTGTCTTCTATGAAAAACTGAAGCTGTTGTACATTATATGGTTACAAAATACTGGAAAGTTTATAAAAATGATTTAGACTGAATGGCAGAGAGCTGTTATGTTTGATTACCATGTTGTAAAATCTTGGTTTTAGTATTGAGAATCATAATCGGACATTGAATTAGGTTAAATAAATATTTTTACATTCTTTAGTGTATTTTGTCCATTGAACAAATAGTGCCAAAGCCTACAAAAGAATTAGAGACAAAAAGTAGCGTACTCCTAATTTTTTTAAATGCATGTCCCATGGTTTTTATGAGTTTTTTTAAGTTAAACTTTTTTGGGACAGGAAGTTATTTTAAAGATCTAAGTGTTAAGGCACCATTTACTTAAAGTTTGTGGTTAACTTTATTCACTTTGTGTTTTCTCCCACTATCATGATCAATAAATGATGCAGGAAAGTGCATTGTCTGAAATACGTCTGTGAATCTTTATAAAACCACAGCAAAGCTATTACTGCAATCTGAATGATTTAAGATAACACTAGTCTGAGTTGGGATTGGGAGGTATGGGTCTCTGGACAGGTAGTGCAATATGTACATAGAAAATCTGTTACTAGATTCCTTCTTGTTAAAAGGGATAGTGAAATAGTACTTTATCACTGTAGGTGTGTCTACATGAGACATTACTGTGCATTTATTTAGCTCTTTTATATTAGCAAGGACTAAATAAATGTGCAGTAACTCCAATTACTGCACAGTAGCCTAATAATACTGTGCAGTAGCATATTAGCACTGTCTGTGCTGTGATGCACTACTGCACAGTATTATTTGGCTATTGTGCAGTCAGCATCTCATGTAGACGCACTCACTTTCTCCAGCTTAGCTTCTATTTTGCCCATTATCACATACAGATAGTGCTTTGCAAACAGAATTAGAACAGATTTCATTTGCATCTAAAGTTCTATAGTTAATAGAGGGTGCCAGTCTCCTTTCTTTGTTCCTAGTTTGGGTTTGATGAAGAGATACGATGCTTATCTAACTTGATTTTTGAGCAATGGAATGTGTGCATGGGGGAGGTAAGTGTGATGAATGAGCATGCACACATACCTCTAACTTGAAGGCATATCTCAAAAGGTAACAGTCTTAAGTATCACAGTATTATTCAGCCATGTAGCCATTTCATCCTTATTTAAGCCTCCCCATGACAAAGTGTGTAAACATACATTTATATGCTGTCCAGAACCTGGATACTATTTTGAGTTATAGCTTCATTGAAACCTTTGAATGTCCCTATCCCCTATGTTCAAGCTATTCAGAAGGGACTAAGAGAAGCCTTAGTTCCCTAAAGCTGCAGGTTCCTGGAATGCATTTTCACTTTAAATGTAACCTTCTTTGGTAGCGCTTTTTACCCCAGGGGGAAATGTACCTTTAGGATTTGAACTGTGACTGTAGAGTGCTTAAACTGATACATAGGTAAGAAGGAAGGGACACAAGTATTCTGGCCACAATGAAGGTCCTAATGTGTCTAGTGCAAAATGCATTAATCAAATACCTTTCTGGTCCCTTTGTTTAAAAATTCATATTTTTACCCACAAGCTATCAGACATACAGATTTGTGTGTTCTTTCTGACAGTTGGCCTTTGTCTCTGTTAAAAATAGAGAACCGAGCAGTTCCACAGATGCAACTAATTGACAAGTTATCGCTGCACTATTATCTTACCTACAGCCTGTTTACAGGCTCTTGCATTGTAGCCACTATGATAATTTATAGAAAGCTAATAAAGCTTAGTTTAGCAAACTTGGTTTGTTGCACAAAAACCCTTGATATATAGATATCTATATAGATGTATAGAATTAACGCATTAATCATTATAGAGAGAGAGGGGCTTTGTCTGTCTGTCCGTAACAGTCTTAGAGCACTCTGATTTGTTGTCTCGGCAGCCACTCACAATGCTTACTGAAACAACCAATCGGTGCTCTGTGTGCGTGTGCACACATGTGCATGCACGCGCGCGCACAGCTGTAGGGGGCGGCTGATACGGGCCCAGATGCATGGCGGGGGGCAGATGTGAAGCAGGGGTAGGTGGTAGTGGCCACCCACTGCCCTGTGCTGGGGGGAGAGGGAGGTGGTGGGTGGTGACAATGGTCACTGTGTGCAAGTTTCCCCCCCTCCCTTCCCCTGCTCCTGGGAGGCGGTGGCTGTTGGTCCGCAGTGTTTTGTCATTGACGGGAAATTCACTAGTTGTTATATTAATAACATGCTGGAAAGGTAGTGGGCAGCTGGATTAAAGGTTAGCCAAGCTAAAAGGTGTCCAACTTGGTTCATTTGGTTTTATTAAACATTAACTGTTGGGTAAGAGTAGTACAAACAAACAAAACGGGGACCATAAACAGAACAATGTAAGATTATACTTTACGCTTTTACTCTTTGCTGATGACTGAAGTCTTGAACCCCTAGTATGACAGTCCGGCTATCTCACAGGTGCCCTCAGCTGCTGGGAGACTTTGTTCTGCTGGCCAGGCCCTGGAGGGATCTAGCACTAACTTTCACAGAAACCAACCATTCGATGTGCACAGCAGCTTGGATCAGTGCAGCAGCGTAGACTTAGACCTTGGATCTTAGAGCTTGCAGGCTCTCGCCTCTCACCATTCAGACACACATGCACGCACGTGCGCCAAGAGATCAAGCACTGCTGACTCGAGCACATTGTTATATGAGTGGGCATTTGGTAACTCATTACTTCATCATTCTTCAATCATGTACAGAATTTCCAATCACCTGGGTGACAGGCCCTACCACTCATTCAAACTGTCACAATCTTTCATTCAACAGTTGTCATCTCTCATTACCTCAGGTCTGTCACCTCACACATCTGTCGATCATACTACCTTTCCCGCCAAAAACTGCCACTACATATGCACATTCGCAGGGAAAGTAGTTCAGGAGTCAAAAGTTCACTCCTGGGCCTTTCCAAACCAGGCCTTAGCCGCGCAGGCTTGACAGTGGATTTGTCAGGACAACAGAACAGAGGAAAAGAATGAAAGCCAAAGCTGGAAGCCCCAGGTTATGTGGAAACAGTAAAACTGGTCAGAGCTGCTGTGATGGAGCTATTTTGCATTAGCTATGTTGCCAGAGCTTCCAGTAATAAATCTCAGATCAACATGTAGACTTCTTCACAATAATATTTTCAATAATCTTTCTGATGGTAGTAGGAGGAGAAAAAAAAATTGTTTTCAAGATGCTAAACAGTTAGGAATTTTCACTTCTAAAAAGGTGGCTCATCAACACCTTGGTCACAATCACAGTCATTTTGACTGAAGTTTCTGCATGATGAGCCAGAAGGCTGAAGGCAACCAATGGCAAGGGCATTATGTTGAGGAGCGGGTCATAT